CTTCCTCGCCGCCTCGGTCGTATCTAGACCCACAGTGTGTAGCACAGACCACGCTTCAATATTGAGCATAATTTAAAAATGTCTGTGTCAAGCTTACTGCAACACACTGCTGTAAGAGTATAACCAGGAAGTGAGGTAGGAGGGCAAAATAGGATTAGCGCCACCACAGCACGGGAGGGAGAATTACGCCCAGAAGCAAATGGAAAAAAATAGACTGGAGGAAAAAAAAAACATAAATCGATTCTCTTGCGGACGTGTCGATGCATCGGATCGTCGGCTGTTGGATCGATGCATCGATACAAAACGATTATTATTTACACCCCTAGGGTACACCCTGGACAGGTCGCCAGTCCATCGCAGGGCAACACAGAGACAAACAGGACATACAACCATTCACGCACACACTCACACCTAAGGAGAATCTAGCGAAGCCAATTAACCTAACATTCATGTTTTTGGACTGTGGGAGGAAGCTGGGGTACCCGCAGAGAACCCACGCATGCTTAGGGAGAACATGCAAACTCCGTGCAGAAAGACCCCGGGCCGGGAATCAAACCCAGAACGTCTAGGAAAACCAGATGAATGTATTTGCAGGCTTCAGCCCTTCTGATTAGTTTGCTCTGATGTACCCCATTGTCCTCCTGACAATACTCATCTGGGGTTTAAGCACAGGGCAATCTGCATGGTGTTGAAGCCTTGTTCACCATGGTTCTTGAGCCAAGTTCTAGAATATTTGGCAAAGCAGAGCTCCAGGTCCTATTGGGGGGGGAAAAAATGTCAACCGCTACTTAAAGCTTTTCAGCTGACAGAAGTATGAAGTGTTCTAAAAATTCAAGGGAGTTGTACCTACTGTCTTGGATTAGTCTCAGTGTTGACCACTTCTAGCCCATCGACATCATTATGTCGGTCCTTCATTTTCTTTCCTTAAACATTTAGTAATGCAGCTGCCTTACTATGCATGCTATTGTTGCACATGTGATACTAGTAATTTAATAACAACCATACTTTTCCAAGAGCCATTATGTGTTTTGTTTGAACAATCCATTTTGTAGGTATGTGTTTATGGGACTGGCAGCATCAAAAACTGTAGTTCGGTTCAAGATTATAAGCTGCTACTTTTTCCAATGCTTCGAACCATGCGGCTTATAAGAAGGTGCAGCTTTTTTGTGGATTTTTCCTAACCGCCAGAGAAGGAAGTCAAAGGTGAAAAAAAAAAAAAAAACCTAGCATTATTCTTCGTCCCTACTCCAGGGGCTAGATGTAGAGCTCCCCCTACAGGTTTGGTGGAAGACAGTTAAGTAGATATCGGCAGCTTAAAGCTCGGTGTGGCTTATATATGTAGGTTTCCAGTTTTTTCAAAAACTTTTTTGGGCACGGCTTATAGTGAGGTGCACTCTATAGTCCGGAAAATACGGTAACATACACTCTGTTCAGATTTTCTGAAAATATGATTTTGTTTGTTGTCCCATTTCACGTGTTACTTATTTAGTACCTTTTCTTGGGATATTTGCTAACCTACAGAGGGTCAACATGGGACCAACCGCTGGTCCTAATGTGGCAAACTCTCATTTTGAAATTTAGTCCATTTAGAGGTTAGGATTTGGTTGGTTTGCTTAAGATAAATGTCAAGGTTAGGCCAAAAGGCAGGAACTAAAATAAGTGTGAGTCATTACATTATAACTTCCACTAAAATGAATGCTGAAACAAACTAACTTTCTGATGACATTCTATTTTTTTCTGTTTTGCAGGATTATTCTATAATTATAGTAAATGAATTGCTATCATTTTTTTTTTTAACCTTTTTTTAGGTTCAGCATTCACTGGACGGAGTCATGGAGTATTTGCTACACAACACGCCACTCAATTGGCTAGTGGGACCATTTGTCGCCCAGAAGACTGAGAGCGAACAGGAGGATGTGATGATGGAGCAGACTAGCCCAAACAACTAGAGCTAAAGATTTTGCGAGCTTACAGTTTTGTTTCTTTTAACAGAAGTTTCTTGAATATGGAAATATTTTTTAAAACGTCTGTGTTGAAACACTCCATATGGTTAATTTAATACCATCATTATCTTCATGCTTTTAATTGACAAAAAAATTACACTATATTGATCTCACAGTATTTACTACATTTAACACTGAAAGATGGTTTTCCTGATTTTTTTGCACTGTTTTGTTTTCTTTCTGTCAAGTACGAACACATCCGTTTTAAGATGGTACTTTTGTTGACATTCTAGTCATTCCAACAATGGATTCAGGAACAGGATGGTAGGGAAGTTGAGTGCACAGTTCACTTGTTGTTGGGTTAATAACATTTATGATTATGTTTCATGTAATTGATCTGTCACTGAGAAATATTGATTAAATTTTAAACACATCAGTGTCTCTGTGTCCCACTTTAATATAGAGTCTGATTCATTATCTGGACTTGTCAAAGGAGATTTTGTGTGTGCTGTTTAAAACTGTCAGGTCTTTATTGAAAAACTTCACAGGATGAACACCTTTTGAACTGAGATTAAAATAATTATTAAAGGGTATCTCCAATAGTGCACACACAAATGTTGTGATAACAGAGAGGGATGTGTTGCATTACGTAGTTATTCTCCACAATCTTCCAGAGATGATAGGGGAGTTGAACTCCAGTGTAATTATTCTCCATGCCCAAAAAAGATTCTTGTGTGGGGTTAATCTCTGATCAATAGTGCCAAGTGCTGAAATGATGGCTCTGGAACTATTATTTTTACCATAGGAGACTGATAAATGTTAGTACTGCTATCTTGGAAAATGCAGACTAAATGTCTTTTTTTTTTTTTTTTTTTTTTTCCATTGCTCTCATCTTTATGATCCTTAGGAAGCCCTTTTTTTAATTAGCCTCCCTTATTTGTCATTAAACACAGCTGCTAGTCCTAATCTGAGTCAGTTTTGCATGGCATATGTGGAAACTCCTCTGCTCTCACCATTTAAACAAAGGCTTAAGATATATATAATATATA